TCGGTATGTACGACCGCAATTTACGTAAGGGGTACTTCCAAAGAGTGGAGAACCGCTCTACGGAGACCCTAATACCGATTATCCAACGCTAGATTCAGCCAGGAACCACCATATACACGGATCAGTGGGCCGCCTATCGGTCATTGTGCTCCCTAGGATATACACATATGTGTGTGAATCATAGTGATGGCTTTGTGAATCCGGCTACCGGTGTTCACACAAACAACGTTGAAGCGTTCTGGAGTCGGATTAAACGTCGCTTAAAGAATGTCACAGGATCTGTTAGTGATGTCATTTGGGAACATATAGACGAGGTCCAGTACAGAATGTGGTTTAACTATTCCAAACAGACTTTTACTAACGATATTGATACTTATTTAGGACACGTAAAACAACTTTATCCTTGTTAGTAATGATTAATTATTGAATAAATGTTTTTAGCTATTTATAAGACTGTTTCTTGTTATATAATGTTTTATCCTACTCATGAGTAACATACTTTTGATTGCATAAATTTCGGTCCATGGGGTGCCGGCGGGTAACCTGAGCCGACCTTGTTGTACCTGTTTAGAACTTCAGGCTCTCTCTGTAGGCGACCTCGAAGGTAGTACAGTCCTCTCTCAGTCGACTGCCGATTGCTCGGTAGGTCACTCCAATATCGCCGCCAGCGTGATTCTAGTTGCTTGTGGTCTTCAACGAGTGCCACAGATTCGCGAGATATTTCCACAGACCGTTTATCCTCCAGCGAGAGAAAGACTCCGTTATGTTGCTCTGTAAATTACATTTCATATATCCTTAGGATATTCAACTCGATCTCCGTCTTAGATGTTAGACAGTTAACCAAACCCGACCGTCCAGAAAGTTCGTGTCTCGGTCCGAATAATACCCAACCTAGAACAGTCCTTTTTGCAAACGGTTGTTTCGAAGTTCCAACTCGTTGATCTAGCGACCAGTGGGCTTCTGGCGTGTTCGCGCCGATGAGAATCCCTACATCCAAATCTGGGATTTCTTGAAATTGAACGTCTTTCAGATGTGGCCAACGGCTCAGCTCAGATGGTGGTACGGACGCCTTCTTCACTGGGAGTTCGTCCACGGTAAATGCACGCTCCACCTCAACAGTGTGACCTCCACTTAACGGCTGGGTGGTGAATTTAACGCTCGATGTTTTCCTAACCGATTCTCCGTTGATTGATGTAACTCTCAAT